CATTCAAATAGCACCAAGTTATGAAGTCTGCATAGGTGAGCAATAAGGAGAGCAGTATAGAAAAGTAGTGATCAAGTAGCGTATGTGTAGAGAGAGTGGAAATGATAGCCAGTATAGAGTGTGCGTTGGGAGAGTAAGATAATGATGTGGATTGTCCATAGTTACAGTTAGATGACATGGATATAACAGATGTAATTTGCTATCCACCGATAACATAACAAAACAAGAAAGGGTAATAAGAGAAGAACTTGGGAGCTGAAGTTAAATAGGGGGGTAAGGGAGGGGGAGAACATAGGACAAAGAATGAAGGGGGGGGGGGGGGGACTTAGTAGCAGATGGAATAATCGGGGTGACTGAGTTTGTTGGGAATGTTGATGGTGAGTGGTGGTGAGAACAATATGAAAGCTGAAGAAAATAAGTATAGGGGAGTAGGGAGATATTACCCGGGGACCTAGTTAGACTAGAGAGAGATGAAGGAGAAGAAAGAAAGAAGAGAAAGAAGAGAAGGAATCCCGTGGTTTTGGGTTCCGCCTTCAGCGGCAATGAGGGGGTGTCATGCTTCCTCCCTTACTGAATGGAGATCTAAGTTATATTGATAGTAGCTGGTGGGTATGTGAATATGTGAGTGTGTGATCCTGAGTTGAGAGGCTGAACGGAGGGTCTAGTTACAGCTGTAATGGATGAAGATAGGAGATAAATGGAGGAAGAGGAGGATGACAATGGAGATAAAACAGTGAGTTATACTAGCTTAGCAGGTGATATCAAAGTCAACTAAATAATTAGGCAATGGCTCCAGTACCACAGGGTTCGAGGGAGTTAAGTTTGAGTTCTGGAGAAAAAAAGCCTGCTCCTGTGTGGATAGGAATCCTGTGATATAGGATTCCCATTTGCGGAAATAGTAAAACTCTTTAGAGGTGGTTAGGGAGGTGATTAGATTGAGCAAGGCGTAGAAGAGAGTTGAGCTCTTGTTTAACAGTCTGTCAGTGTTGGAGGGGAGTTGGAGATCCATTTCCGGAGAATGGCCCATCTAGCTATTAGGAGAACTGTGGATATCCAAGGTTTGTTGTTTCTGAAGGATGTTGTTTGAGAGGAGAGGAGGCCAATGACTGGCTGTTCCAGAAAGCCTAAGAGGAGCAGTAGTGGGTCAATAGGTACTTGGAAGGTGGTGATGACAGTTATGAAGTTGACCACTTGTTTGCAAAATATAGAAATAACAGAGCAAAGCCAGAATCGATGTGGTAGTGAAGGTTTTTGACTTCCACAGAGAGGGCAAGTAGACAGAGCCTGGATGTTTGAGTTGAGACAGGGCATATAGGCACAGTGAAGAATCTTGAGTTGTTCCTCACGCCAGAACTCGTGATTGAAGGCACATGTGGAGTTGAAGCCAGATAGTAGTTGGTCAGCTTTAAATATATTGTCAAAGTCTTTGATCCAGGATTTCACAACATTGAATGTCTCAAGAGGTTTTGCGTACAGTAGATTCATGGGTCTGTATATGTTCGATATTTTATACTTTCGAGAGTTTGCCAAGACATCAATGAATGTCGTTTGAAATCTAGTAGATTTAATAGGTGCCACAGAGTTGACAAAGTTTCTCACTTGAAGCATATAAAAAAATGGGTGCATTGGTATACCGTAGTTTTGTAGGACGTTGTTGAGAAACTTTGGGGAATCCGTAGAGGTATCATACTAGTTCTGTATCAAAGTTAAATCTTGGACCAGCCAGGTCTCATAAGCATCATAAGTTTGCGGGGGAGAAAAGGAGGGGTTATGATGGATAGGAAGAAAGCGAGAGAGCCACGGAGAGACCCCTAGTTTACGCCTGACTTCCCTCCATGCAATAAGTGAATCAGGGATGAGCAAATTATGTTTCAAGTGGGGTGGTAGAGAGTTAACATTAGAATGTAGTAGGGCTGATAGGTCGTAGGGCTGTGCTAATGCAGATTCAATGTGATGATTGGAGTAATTAGAGGATTGGGTGAGCCATTCTAGACATATACGGAGAAGACATGACAGATTGTATGCTCGCACGTTTGGAAGACCGGATCCTCCATCGCTTCGTGGGAGGAATAATTTAGCCAGTGCTATGCGGGGACTTTTGCCTTTCCATACAAAGGTTGAAATTGCCCTATTAAGCCTCGTTATGTCTCTGTATTTAATAAGAAGAGGTATGGTCTGAAGCGGGTAGAGGAGTTTCGGGAAACTTACCATCTTAAAGAGGTGTGATCTATCCAGGAGTGAGAGCGGTAGATCCTTCCACATTTCTAGTTCCCCAATGATTTTCATAATCGTGGGCGCATAATTTAGCTCGTATAGAGCTGAAGCCAGTTTCCCTATCTTTATGCCTAGGTAGGTGATATGTTTGGTAGCAATTTTAAAGGTCGAATTTTGTGTCCACACCAGGAGGCAGGAATGAGATATTGGGAGAACTTCACTTTTGGAAAAATGTATACGAAGCCCTGAACAAAGGCGGAAGGATGAGAAAATATGTGAATGTATGGCAAGTCGAGAGATGGGTGTGAGGTACAAATTAATATGTCATCTGCGAACAAAGCAAGCCTCAGTTTCTGTTGTCCTATTGTAATGCCATGTAGGTCAGAGTGGAATAGTAGAAAGCGTGCCAGTGGTTCCAGGGCCAAGTTGAAAAGTAGAGGTGATAGAGGGCAACATTGTCTAGTGCCCTTGTGAAGTTGGATGGGGTTAGAAATATGGCCTGCTGCTATGACCTGAGCTGTTGGAGATGAGTACATGGTTTGGATCAGGTGCATAAAGGGGCCTTCAAAACCAAACTTCCGTAGTGCTAAGAATAGCTAATCAAAATTGACATTGTCAAATGCTTTTTCGGCATCTAATGAGACAATTGCTACGTCTCGAGTGGTGTCGCTAAGTGCTTGACTCAGGACAGAAATCACCTTACGAATGTTTGAAGCCGCGCCGAGCGACCCTGTAAAACCCTGCTTGCAATGGAGAAATTAGGGTAGGCAGTATAACTGCTAGACGAGAGGTGATCATTTTTGAAAACGCTAATTGCTCTGGGAGTGATGGTCAGCAGGATGATAAGCCACTAGTTGATTTTGAACCTTGATCTCCAGGAAGTGACATTCTGCAGAAGCCAGCTCCAAAAAAAACGATGTAAGGGAAGCAATAATCTGTAATCGAATATACCACTAAGAAAATCCACTTCTTCTAGACTCCACCATATCCATATGCAAAGGGTTTTAGGCCAGACACTCGGAAAAGAAACAACAACATCTTCATAGTGCAGTACCTTTTAAAACAACTTCTTTTGAGTTAAGTGAGATGAGTGCATAGTAAATGGTGTCCCAGCCGACACCAGCGTTAACAGCATGTAAAATACAATGGACGAACCCAGCCACTCAGCACATGCGCCGTAGACCACTGGGAAACGTAATGACGTCACATCGATCAAAACCCTGCCTACGTGTTTCGTCATTGATATCCTCACGGAGCGGATAGATGTGGACTGACCCTTTAAATTGCAATATAATGTGGGTTTTTTTCGTTTTATACACCCCAGAATCCCCCCCCCAAATCCATACCAGACCCTTATCGTAGCATGCAGCCCAGCAGGTCAGAAAAGGGGGAGGGAACGAGCAAGCGCCCCCCCCCCCGAACCATACCATGCCACATGCCTCAACATGGGGGGGTGCTTTGGGGCAGCGGGGCTCCCCCCAAAGCACCTTGTCCCCATGTTGATGGGGACAAGGGCCTCTTCCCCATGTTGATGGGGACAAGGGCCTCTTCCCCAATTGTGTAAACCGAGGCATTATTTTCAATGGATTTTCTTTCGTAAACCCCATATGGAACAAGGATGACACCAAATCCCAAACTATCTTGCCACTGCTCCCCATGTAGTCTGGGCATTCGGGGGCTCCACGTGACTATCTTTTCCCTCGTAAATTCTAAAATTATATTTATAGTCTGTTACCCTCTCACAGGTCTTATACATCTTGGCCTCATATCTGGCATGCTTGCTGGGGAAAAATTGTTTACTTTCATTTTTTTGAGGGACTTATCAATGCAGATGTTTTGCTGGGGAGTAAAGACATCTGCAAATTTTTGGTTAAGGTGATTTATGAGGTATTTCTACTATACGGTGGAGCAGAAGTGGTTCAAAATGTCCAGTAAAAAATAAAAAAATGAAAATAAAATTTTGTTATAAATTTAGGATAAAATGTATTCTGCGACATGCCTTTGCTTAAATATAAATCCCAATATGTGTAAATTAATTAGTTTACGTGAAAGTTATAGCATTTACAAATGGCGGTATAGATACTGGAATTTTTTTGTTTTTTTATTTTACTAATAATGTCAGCGATCAGCGACATTTAGCGGTACTGCATGATGATGATCCAATAATGACACCTAGGCCATGACACCTGACACCCTGTAATGGGCGGAGCCCTTTGTATGTCTCCCAATGTCTGCCATGACAGACACAAGGATCTCCTGTGATCGGCCGATGTTTTTGTTCCCGGCTCCTTGTAGTCAGCTAGAGATGAGCCGAGTTGTGTATTAGAGGGAAATGTTTGGCGATCTCCCCTCTTCCTTCGTGTAATGTGAAGCGGATTGTAGTGGGGGGATGGGAGCAGATTGTTTTGTGGGTAGAATGTGTCCCCCCAAGCAGGTAGAAGGCAGAATGGGCCCCCCCACTCCGAGGATGGTTGTGTTTGCAGCCTCTGTGTTCAGCCTCGTGAGCAGCTCCTGACAGCTGGAAGTGACCCCCGATAAGTGACAGTCCAGGGAGCAGATCGGCTCCCCGGTGCACATCGGACATCGTTCCCTTTCGGAATAAAATCGGTTCTCTCTCTGCTCTGCCCGAGAAACACAACGAGAGAGAGAAGAATCCCCGACTGTGGAGCCACATCCAGTGGGCGTGTCTGATGTGTAACCAATAGCAGGACAGAGAGTGGAGTTGTGTGTCAACCAATCGCAGTGTTAGAAGGTCTGTATATAAGGCGAGCGCCGTGTGATTCGTAATGAACTATTGTGGAAACATTTCCCGAGTCATGACGGAGACTGAGAGCGCCCCAGCCGCCGCTCCTCCAGCGGAGGCCGCCGCCAAGAAGAAGCCGGCTAAGAAGGCGTCAGCCGGAGGAGGAGCCAAGAAAGGCATCAAGAAGGCGTCCGGTCCCGCCGTGTCAGAGCTCCTGGTCAAGCCGTGTCCGCTTCTAAGGAGCGCAGCGGGGTGTCCCTGGCCGCCCTCAAGAAGGTCCTGTCCGCCGGAGGATACGATGTGGACAAGAACAAGAGCCGCCTGAAGATCGCCCTCAAGGCGCTGGTGACTAAGGGGAGCCTCGTCCAGGTCAAAGGCCATGGGGCCTCGGATCGTTCAAGATCAACAAGAAGCAGCCCGACGGCGCCAAGGCGAAGCCCAACAAACCGGCCACCAAATCCCCGAAGAAGGTGGCCAGCAAAGCCCCCACACCCAGCCAGGAGTCCCAAGAAGTCCCCAAGAAGAAGGCGGCCAACAAAACCACCGCAGCCAAAGAGCCCCAAGAAGCCGGCCGCCAAGAGACCAGCAAAGGCTGCCGCCAAGAAGGTGACGAAGAGCCCAAGAAGAGCAAAGCTGCAGCCAAGCCGAAAAAAGGCGCCAAGAGTCCGCTAAGGCTAAGAAGGCGGCTAAGCCCAAGAAGGCCGCTCCGAAGAAGAAATAATGGGCGGCGACCTCCTTCATCTCCACCCCCCAAAGGCTCTTCTCAGAGCCCCCACCTCCCCCCAACAGAGCTCTCCATACATACACCGACCACGAACCGCATTTTTCCTCCTCACATTGTACACTTGTCCCTTATAGGTCATCCAATGATTCCTCCAATCCCCTCCCGATACATTTCACAGGCCGTCGCCCCTCCACACATATAACATCGGTCATATGTGGATTGGCGATCTGTCACTTCCCGCACACTGTCTGTGGGAGGGGTAACAATGAACATTTCCTGATCCTTTTACAAGGAATTCCCAGCATTCATTATTATTGCGGCCATTGTGGAAGTTGTACGGAAACGCCATGTAATGATCGGGGACACATCATCCTCTGGACGGGATCTAATGATCGCACCGAGAACATCGTGTTTGTGCGGACAATGGACTCCTTCCTATGGATGGATCGCCTCTACAACACAATACAACACGGGGAGCGGCTTTCCAGGTGCCATTTGGAGGAAAACAACCGATCTTCGGGCTCTGCGAGTCTCCGGGGGAGATCCGCCAAAAACTGCTATTGGCTGACAGATAAAACGCCGGATGTTCTGATTGGTGGAGAGGAATATTTGTAAATGTCACCTGTTCTAGTTGCAATGATTACCCCCCAGATGATCGATAGGGAATCGCGAGACAAAAGGTTTCGGGGAGTTTCCAGATTCTCCACAATGATGAATTGTATTTTTCTATAGAACACCGGCCGGGGCGGCACACGGAGAGCAGAAGGAAGAATCCTCCCGGTGTGTCCGTGTGTGCCGCCCGGCAGAGCGATGTGATCTGTGATGACCCCGATGTAGTATCGGAGGAGGTAATAGAGGACATGACTGACCCCCCCCCCCCCCCATAGTGACACATCTCCGTGTGAAGGTTCTAGAAGTGAAGGAAATCCAATCCACCTGTTCCCGGGTGTAGTGATTGTAGTCCGGTAGTGTAGAGCTCTGTGTGGGGGGAGGTTGTGGCTCTGAGAAGAGCCGTTGGTTGGCGGGTTGTGTGGAATGTCTGTTGCGGGGGGGGGGTCTAGGCCCCTCTCTCCGCGGATGCGGCGTGCCAGCTGGATGTCTTTGGGCATGATGGTGACCCTCTTGGCGTGGATGGCGCAGAGGTTGGTGTCCTCGAAGAGTCCGACGAGATAAGCCTCTGCGGCCTCCTGCAGAGCCATGACGGCGGAGCTCTGGAAGCGCAGGTCGGTCTTGAAGTCCTGGGCGATCTCTCGGACGAGGCGCTGGAAGGGCAGCTTGCGGATGAGCAGCTCGGTGGATTTCTGGTAGCGGCGGATCTCTCGGAGAGCCACGGTGCCGGGCCTGTAGCGGTGAGGCTTCTTCACTCCGCCGGTGGCCGGGGCGCTCTTGCGGGCGGCTTTGGTGGCCAGCTGCTTGCGGGGAGCTTTCCCTCCGGTGGACTTACGGGCGGTCTGCTTGGTACGAGCCATCTCTACTCCTCTTGCCGGGAACTGCGAATATAATGCGCCTTCTCTCTGCACAGCGATTTATACACATCTCTTCCCTCTGATTGGAGAACTACGCCACGCCCCTTATAATGGTTGGGTTACATAAAAAAAGCGGAATTTTCAAAAAGCCCGCCAGGATCTGCACGTTATCTCTGTAGGTAGAGAAGCCCGCTGTGTCAGGGGTGGGGGAGGGGAGTTCCTCCACATCATACAATGCTCGGAGCTCTCCTTACTACCAAAGAAGAGAAGATTAATCAGAGATCTGCTAATAATCAGAGATCAGAGACTCCCTGTACAATGTAACAATTACATCCATTGACATCGGACTGGATTCCTCCATAATACAGTGAATGGGATGACAGAAGATCCTCCTCCGATCTCACGGATCCGATGATTCCTCTGTTCGGGGGGACTAAGAAGCAGAACGTTTGTCGCCCATCTCGGTCCATCCAGCACAATTGTGGACTAACAGGACAGTCAGAAGGGCTGCAATGTATTGTCTATAGAAGAGCGAGATGACAAGAGACATGACTTGTGTGCGGATCTGGGAGGAGATACAATGTGATTTCTGCCTTTTCTCTCCGAATCCCACTTCCAAGGACAATCCGATCCCGGCGATGACAGTGTGGACTTTGATGGCACAATGACAATCTATCGCTGAGGATGTGAGGAGGCGGACATCTAGTCTGCAGCAATTCATCCCATTCATTTTACATTTACGAGTTTATTTGTAACAAACATTATTTTATTTATGTGTCTTATATTTTCAGAATGTTTTTTTTTTTTAAATTCCCGCCAAGATCTGCAGGTTATCTCTGTTAGCAGAATATCCCGATCTCTCTGGGAGCTCCTTACTGCCAGATGGGAAAACATTGATAAGAAAGATGTTTATAATTATATATATTCAAACGTCTTATCAATGTAAGAATTGCAATCTCCGAGAGAGGACTATTTCTGTCCATAATTCAGTAAATTAGATGACGTAAAGTAAAAGGGAGGGAAATAAATTGGTCCAATGCCCCCCCCCCCCCCCATTCATGATAACTGTATTACAATTTATAACCTCCACTTTCCATTCTGTGTATTAATCTGATGCACCTGAAATTCACTGAATGCTCAAATGAAAAAGAGAGAGGAAAAAAAAAAAGATACATACATATACACTATATTGCCAAAAGTATTGGTCGGCGGGCCTTTACACACACATGAACGTATGACATCCCAGGCTTAGTTGTAGGGTTCAATATTGGGTTGTCCCCGCCCTTTGCAGCTATAACAGCTTCAACTCTTCTGGAAGGGCCGTACACAAGGTTTTAGGGAGGGTGTCTATGGGAAGGTTTGACCATTCTTCCAGAAGTGGATTTGTGAGGTCAGGCACTGATGTCAGATGATAAGGCCTGGCTTAAAGTCTCCCCACTAATTCATCCCAAAGGTGTTCTATGGGGTTCAGGTCAGGACTCTGTGCAGGCCAGTCAAGTTCCTCCACCCCAAACTCACTCATCCATGTTTTTTTGGACTTTGATTTGTGCACTGGTACGCAGTCATGTTGGAACAGGAAGGGGCCATCCGCAAACTGTTCCCACAAAGTTGGGAGCATGAAATTGTCCGCAATGGCTTGGTATGCTGACGCCTTAAATGTTCCCTTCACTGGAACTAGGAGGCCAAGTCCAACCCCTGAAAAATAATCCGACACCATAATCCCCCCTCCACCAAACTTTACACTTGGCACAATGCAGTCAGGCAAGTACTGTTCTCCTGGCAATTTCCAAACCCAGACACGTCTATCAGATTACCAGGCAGAGAAGCATGATTGGGCACTCCAGAGAACTCGTCTCCACTGCTCTAGAGTCCAGTGGTGGCGTTCTTTACACCACTACATCAGATGCTTTGCATTGCACTTGGTGATGTAAGGCTTGGATGCAGCTGCTCTGCCATGGAAACCCATTCGATGAAGCTCTCTTTCATGTTGTTGTGCTAATCTGAAGGCCACACCAAGTTTGGAGATCTTTAGCTATTGACTCTGCAGACAGTTGGTGACTTTTGTGCACTGTGCGCTTCAGCATCGCGCTGACCCCGCCCTGTCAATTTACGTGGCCTACCACTTGGTGGCTGAGAGTTGCTGTTATTCCCATTTGCTTCCAATTTGATATAATACGGCTAACAGTTGAGCGTGGAATATTTAGTAGCCAGGAAATGTCACAGATGGAATTATTGCACAGGTTGCAACCTATCACGGGGACCATGCTTGAATTGAATTCACTGAGCCCTTAGAGTGACCCATTCTTTCACAAATCTCTTAGATTGTAAGCTCTAAGGAGCAGGGCCCTGCTAACCCTACAGTATTGAACTGTCACATTGCTGTATTGTCTCCCTTTATATTTTAAAGCGCTAAGGAAACTGTCTGCTCTATATAAATCCTGTATAATAATAATTCACAAATGTTTTGTAGAAGCAGTCTGCATGCCTAGGTGTTTGATTTTATACACCTGTGGCCATGGAGGTGATTGAATCCAATGATTTGGAGGGGGTGTTCCAATACTTTCGGCAATATAGTGTGTACGTGTATATTTATATACACTGTTCAAAACAAGGAACACTTTTTTAAATCAGAGTATAGCCTCAAGTCACTTAAACTCCTGGGATATTGATCCGGTCTGTTAAGTATCCAAGGGGATTGTTAATCAGTTTCTTCTGCTTTTGTGATAATAAAACTAACAGGTGCACTAGATGGACAACAATGAGACGACCCCCAAAACAGAAATGGATTTACAGGTGGTGGCTACTGACATCTTTTCTGTTTGTCACTAATTTGCATTTGGCTAGGGTCAGTGTCACTACTGACACGAGGACATGGCATGAAGCGATACCTGGACCCTACAGAGGTTGCACAGGCAGTCCAACTCCTCCAGGATGGCAGATAAATATGTGCCAATGAAGAAAAGCCTGCATTTTTTCTCGCAAATACTCCATCAGCACTAGGACTCAAGAAACCTCCTATAAATTGTTAATAAGATGTTATGCTACACCGGATAGTTTAAAGAGGGGGTTCCCCCAGACGTCAGGCCAATTTTGGTGCTGTGAATCAGCCAAGGGCTCCCTGTTACATATTTGGTGGCAATGCCCAGGGCTTATGCCATTGTGGGACAACGTTCTCGGTT